GTCTAATCGCCAAATTCATTCATTTCTTCATTTCAGTAAATCATGTTCAATTCTTTCAAGTGATCTCTCCTTTTTGAAATCCTGCACTGTGCAACTTGAAGTTTGTAGTCCCTTGAAGTGAATCATTATCTGCTGTATGTAAATATTTTGAACTGAATGCAAGTAATCTTAACCATAACCCCTAAAAAAATCAAAGTACAAATAATATAAATCTAATGGACCTAAGACTGAGCCTTGGGGAGCTCCTCAAGTAACCTACATGCACAATGAATGGTGAATGGATGGGCTGTACATGGGTGAACTAAGTCATTTACGTAAGTAAAATAGTTTTTAAGATGTTCTGCCTTAGCGCAGTGGCTTATATTTTTAACATGAACTAAAATAATAATGATAACAGTATATAAGTAAATACCGTTTATCATATGCGTCTCTTTCGTCTGGCCCGGACACAACAAACTGTGGCAGTGACGATCACCAAAATAAGAAGACCTGATGGAGAATAACATCAATTGTATTACACATGGAAAAAATAGAGAATTCATTGGTTTTGTATGTGAAGCTTGATTTCAATGCTTTTCAGAGTATAATCTGACGACTGCACAGAACATGACACGTACCTGCTCCGCCTCCTATGAAAACCCAGATGCTAATTCCAAATAATTCATTAGGAAAAGCTTCAGGAATAAAACAAGAGAAGAAGAAATATATTTTATCATGACATGAGTGTAAAATGGTCAGTGTCATAACTATTTGAATGGACAGTTGATAGAAATAATACTTACAGGGTTTTGAGCACTTTTGTGCAGCAGGGTCACTGATCTCAGAGCTGATGGAGTTTGAAACATTGCAAAAGAAGTTGGTGTTTACCACATCGTCGGTTTTCCTTGTAAGTGTCTCTCCTGATCCCTGCAGCTTGTTTTCCTCGTTAAACCATTTAAATTCCAGATTATTGTATTTCTGTTGAAGAAAAGACGATTAATGGATTTGCTAAAGTTTTAAACTTCCAAGTATAAGAGCAAGCATACTAAATATATTTTGACGGCAAATATATTTTTTTAAAATTTTATTTAGTTATCCAGTGTGTGTGTGTGTGT